AATTGGATGGAATTTGAGGGGAGAGCAAGGCCAAAACGTGTACAACATCATTGAAATTTTGGAAGGAAAGTGAAACTTGAAAATCCCAAATTGGGCTTTGTTTGGGCCTCCAAAGTTGTTAAACTGAATATAAATTGGATGTGGATCATTCTGAGAACCTTCTAGTGGCAAATTCAGTTGTGAATCCGTTGGAGCAAGTTTGTGAAGGATCTTGGAATTTGATTTTCGGTTTTGGAGATTCAGAGACTTTCAGTAGGAATTGGCTATCAAGAAACGTTCATCATCATTCACTAAAGTGATTTGCACTCTTTGGAGAAGAATTGAGGCCTGAAACCTACCTTGATCGAAGCTCCGACTCAAGTTCCTACTTCTCAAAATTTCTCTTAATTCACGCGCATTTAGCGTCTTAGATTCATGTGGCTAGGTTGTAATTAAGATGTAGATGGATTCTGGATAGTAAATTTGAGGTTTAGAGAAGAATTAGGGTTGAATCCGTTTTCAGTTTGGATGTGGATTTCTCTGGTTTTGAGGTTTCAGCGTGATTGATTGGCATATTCGTAATCCTCAAGGAAAATCCTTCGATTTTCATTCAAGAATCATGGCGTTTCGTTGAGTTATGAGAGAGTTAGGTTTGTGAGGAGTATGACTGCGTTTTCCGACCACCGTGAGTGTCGCCGGACTGGTTTCCCTCCTTTGGTTTGTTTAAACGAAGAAGACGATACATCCACCATCGGATCTTGCTGGAAAGTTGAATTAGTAATCCCATCTGACGATTGTGAACTTAGCCACGTGTGCCTCCAAGACGTTTTAAATGAAACGCAGAGTTTCATGGAAGAAACTCTGGGCTTGTTATCCACGCCTCCCCCTATTAGGCCCAAATGCATTAACGCATATATGCCTTCCTTGTGGCACCCCCTGGTCACGTCCATGATTAGAAATAATGTGTTGAGTTAGTAACTCTGGGCCCAATGTGTGTTTTCCACACCCCCTCCAATAGGCCCAACAGGAATAACACGTGAAGTCGTTACTTAATCCACCCCTCTAGCGTTGTTTCTTTGAGAAATAGTGAGCTGAGTTGAGACTCAACTGAGCCCAGCGCCCATGCGCTTTCCACACCCCCTCATATTGGGCCCAAGCGAATAAACCCTTGTTCCTCCTGCTAGTTGCACCTCCCTGCGTTTATTTCTTTTATTTCTTTTTTCTCTATTTTTTTGTTTTATTGCTTGTTTGTTTAATTCATAAAAAATGATGAATGTTGGTAATAAATTCTGAGAAAATTTGTGGATATAGAGTGAGATGTGTAGAATATTTCCATGCTTTTTATTTTAATTTTCCATTTTTTTGGCAATTAGTTTCATATTTTCTTTTGTAATATGTTTGTAATGATGGAATAATTGTGTTCTGAATTTGTTCATTTTATTTCTCACTCATGGCATGGAGTTTGATCTTGAAATTTTGGGTGCTGGCTGTATACATGTTGATAATGTTGTGTAAGTTTTGTTATGATTTTTAGATGATTTTAAATAGGGTTTTAGGGTAGTGGTGTAGGAGTGTTCTTTGTTGAATCCCTTTAGATACCCTTGAAGTTTTTAGAATTAGTTTGAACCTTTTTACTTAGGTTTAACCCCTGATTTTTCTACTATAGCATGTTGATACATGTAGGATGATATGATATTTTCCCTAGAATTTTTAGGAGTGATCTTCAATTAGTTCCCTATTTTACAAATTAACTTTAGTTTAGGTGATTCTAACTTAGAGAACTTCATAGGTTAACCTTGTAATTGACCATTAGATGATTCTAGGTAGTGTTTTCCTTCTTGATAGAATGGTAAGTAAGTAGATGCCTCATTAGGGTTTAGGAAGAGCCCTAGAGAGTGTTTTCTTTCTGCAAACAAACATGACTTGCTTTGTGTGCATGTCATTCCCATCCCATCCTATGATTCAAAGTCCTCATGTGAAAGCCCATTTCTCCTTGGGAGGGATGTATGGCATGTCATAATGAGTAGAACTTTTGAGAATGCCTTTCATGGATGCATGGTTGAGTGTCATGATGGATTCCTTAGGTTTCCATCATGCTTCCCATCATCATGTACTCATCTCGTTGACTCTTTTCTCTTTTGTTGGAGCATGAAGATGAAGACTTCTCTTGAAGATGGCTTGAGCTTGGAATTTGCTTGCAGATGTTTGGTGGTTTGTTGTTTATCTGCTTTGTTGTTGAGCTATTTTGTCTGCTGTTTGGTCTGCTACTCTTTCTGTTTGACTGTTGCTTGTGTGACTTGCTCTTGTTGCATTTCTCTCTTCCTTGATCTTTGCAATTATTCATACTTGGCTTGAGGTTGAGATGAGCTTGTGGAGGCTCTTGCCCCACACATATTTCCTCCCTCACTTGCATTGCATGCATTTTATTTACAGTTGTTTCCTATACAGTTTATTTGTTTATCTGTTTATGTATACCATTGATATGATCCCCTAGGAATCTCACTTCCTTTGATAAGGAGGTGATCATTAGAACTTTAGGTTGAAACCTATGCATGATAGCATCTAGGAGTTCCCTGTTTCAAACCTCAACCATAGGATGAATCCTTGGCATGACAACATTAGAACTTGATAGTCTCCTCTTAGTTGAGCCTGTTCTCTCTTCTCATCTTCAAACAGATCAAAAATACAGTAATAAAGGTTAACTGATGTCGTACATTACGAGCCTTAAGCTACTTGAGAAAGGGTTGTTGAAGGGTCACTCTTCAACAGTCTGGATGTTTAGTATGGTACCCTTAGGGTGACATGCGACGCATTCACTCTCAAGTCATAGTCTCTAGTGCGATATTGGTTGCAAACAGAACTCAATTCACTTCTTCCGTAAAAGACTCAGAAAACAAACTTCAAACCTTTTTTCCCCGTGGGCCCATAATTCAAAGGAAGCTTTTCTGAAGAAAAGAGTGTCGTTAACTCTCAGTTCTACCGCAAACGGTAACGCCCAAGTCTCCAAGGGTCGAGCTGCGTACACCAAACTGCTGGAATTGTTTGTTAACCATACTCGAAAAAAACAAATGAATCTGAATCCCCGTAATCCGTATTATCCCGAACTACGTAAGCTCTGATCTCTCATACCTGTTAAGAGTACGTAGGCACAATACTGACGTATTGGCGAGCCACCTTCCCCCATCCGTTTACCCGTAGTTAGCCGAACTACGTTGACTCTGATTTCTCATTCTCTGATGAGAATACGTAGGCATAAAGTGCGACGCTTTGCCGAGTCAGTTTCTTTTCTTTTTAATCCGGCCTTGATAGGTAGATAGTTAAATAAACCCGTCAGATAAACACAACAAGCATGGATTCCATCGAGTACGATGGACGTGAGGGGTGCTAATACCTTCTCCTTGCGTAACTGACTCTCGAATCCAGACATTGGTTGCGATGACCTTGTCTTATACCTTTTCGTCAGGTTTTTCCGATCGTTCCCTTTCCCGTTCTGAGGGATAAATAACGAAAGGTGGCGACTCTTCTATTTTGCCGACACCTTACTTTCGCGGTAGCGACACTATTCTCCCTCTATCAGAATTCCAAGAGACTCGCATAATTACATTTAATGGACACGAGTAATGGTTTGATAGTCATTACTCCCTTCGTCCCACAATGAGTGATTCAGTTAACTTTTCACACAGATTAAGAAAAATGAATAAATGAGAGAGAAAATGATGTTTTTACTAAAATACTCTTATCATGTATTGAGAATGATAAAAGTAAAATTAATTAAAGGGTAAAATAGAAAAAGAAGCATTGGAAATTGAAATGGGTCATACATTTAAGAACACTATTTTATTCCAAATAGGTCACTCATTGTGGGACAGACAGAGTAGTAGAATAGCAGTTACAACCGCCCATTATTGGTGCAAGTCATAACATTTCATGATTTATAGAAGAATGTTGTATAAGACAAATCATAATTTCATAACCGGTGAATGACCATTGGTTATCCCTTCTAGAATCCGAGATGGTCTACCCTAGCTAAGTAAGTCATCATGTGCATATCAGAAGGATGTACATACCCTATAGTCATTACACTGATTTGTACTCACCGTCCAGAATCGTGTCTTCGAAAAATCTATAACCCAGACTCCTATTTATCTCAAAAGTAGCGACTCGGTAATCGTTATCTTTTTCAAGTACCCAACACGTCAGACTTTCACCTCTCAACTCTAATAACTTATAACTCGACTTTGAGAATGTCAAAGTATACACAAAGTATACACCAGTAAAGGAGAAAACTTTGACCTAGTTAAAGAGAAAACTACTACCTAATTAAAGAGGAAACCATTCCTCCCCAATCTCTCACGTACTTTTTGGAAACTCCTCCTACTCTCATACTTTTTAGAAAGTTTAGGAAAGACATTTTCCTTCCCCTAATCCAGCCCATAGACTTGACTATTAATATTCTAACCTCTAGGATTTGAGAGATCATTCACTAATTTCATTTTGTCCCCTGAAAATTGAAATAATCAAGATATACAAATCCTCTTGTGATCACCTTAAATATGATCACATCATTGTATTTCTTGCAAGTACATATACATTTACACTATTAGATTTACCATATGTGCTGTCTATAGGATAAATTGTGACCAAAGAACAATACAAAATGTCCGTCGAAAGTTACACCAAAATTTTGTCTTAAATAAAATATCAATTGTGATTCAATATTTCAAATATCTAATAAATACGTCCCATAGAGATTTGAGATGTCAATATTTGAATATCTAATAAATTCGTCCCATAATGTTTTGGCCAATGTTCAGCAATTAAGTTGAACTGGCTTGTTCTCTGCAACAATTGTTGAAGCATCAATATAGACAATATCTGAAGCTCTCACAATCATCAATCCCTCATCACAAGAATCATTAATTGATGATGTAACATAATGGAGGCCACTCCAACAAACTTTCTAGATCAATGAGCAATCAATCTTATGTCCACCTCCAGTTCAATAGAGACGGGCCTGTAGACTAAATCAAGGGAGTTAGAAGTGGCTTTCCAAGGAAATGGGCCTCTAGGTTTCCAAGAACAAGGTCAGCCATGACAGTTCGAGTTTCTACTGTGGCGCTTCCAACATGAGGCAACAGGACAACATTTTCTAGCCCAAGTAGCTCTTCAGGAACATGAGGCTCATTTTCAAATACATCGAGTCCAGCTCCACCCAAACGACCTTCAAGCAATGCAGAGACCAGCTCTGGCTCATCAACATGTTTACCTCGACCGATATTTATTAGGAAACCCTTCGGACCAAGTGCACTAATGACCTCTCGGTTAATGATATGATGGGTTTCCGCTGTAAGAGAGCAGGCAACAATTAGTATGTCGCAGTTGGATGCGACCTCAACAACACTTGGATAGTACTTGTATTTTGATTCCTGCTTTTGAGTTCTAGAATAGTAGCATATTGAACAATTGAAACCTTCGGCTCTCTTGGCAATTGCTGTGCCAATCCTTCCCAGCCCAATAATGCCGACGGTTTTCCCAGAGAACTGAAAGGAAAATCCAGATGAGAAAAGTTATTAACTTCTGTTTGGAAAATGGAGTGGGGGATACTAATTACTACATGAGAATACATGTAACCAATTTTAAAGAGCAGTATGACACAAATATATGATTGAAGCTCTATAACTCTTACAATATGATGATAGATTATTGTGTCCAATTTAAAATGTTTTCACCGTTTTCTGAAAACTTACAAGTAAAGGTTGAAAAATAGATGGTATGTCAAACTCAAAAGCAAGTGTAAACGAGTAGAGCTTATGCAGACTCAATAAAAATATGACACTTTAAGTATAAACGAAATTTCATCAGAAACCAGATCGCACAATTCAGCCTGTTTTTGCGATGCACCCGTGATTGAATTATAGCATGCAATTCAATGAGATTCATAACTCCCAACTCTGTGAGATTAAGCAAAATGAATTGAGATTCATGTTGAGAGGTCTAAAAGAGATTCACACTCTCGTTTGTATCGATTGCTAGGTTGTTAATCTCGGATAGTGGCACGTAGCGCGAACCTCTAAGATGCTATAGCTGCAATAGTCGATAGCGGGATGACTGCTATTGTGAACTTTAAAAATCAAGGTAAAACTTAACATTAATACATAAGTACTTAAAATGAATACATAAATACTTAAAATAAGTTCCAACAACATTCACATCCTTCAATATAAATTCCAACAGCACCTTCAATATAAATTCCCATCAAAATCAAATTGTAAATGTACTCAAAATGACTAAACCAAAATCTAAACGTGAACAAAATGACTAAATACATTCGCGTTTGCCTCATCTTCATTTTTAAGTCCCACCTCGTTACTATCATCTGGCTCATCACTTGATTCAAACAATTCTTCTTCCACCTCCAACTCCTCATCTTCATTAGACACCAGTGCAGCAAGTCTAGAGTGATGTCTAGTAACTCTTGTTGTTGGAAGTTTGTGTCACACTTGCAGAAGATGATGTCATGGTTGCTAATAAAAGAGAAACAGAGCAAAACTGAGGAGAAGGCACAGGGCAAAACAGAGGAGAAATCAACTATAAATGGGTGAGAAAGGTGAGAAATAGATGAATAGGTGAAGAACAGTGATGATTTTGGAATAATGATGGATGGCTTGTTGTTTTGAGAAGAAGAATGTCGAGGAAGTTGTGCGAGGGAGTTTTGCGAAGAAGATGGCTTTCTGAAAGGAAAACACGCGGGTGAAGAGGGAAACGGCAAAAAGCACACGTGAAATGACCTAAAGCAAACACTTGTGCTTTTACATTAGATCAAATAAAATGGTCAAAATACCAATTTGACCTTTAAAAATTTTTGAATTTACAAATTTACCCACATCTTCGCTTATAGCAGTCTGTAAACTGCTACAGAACCACAATTATGCCGCAAAAGGGCCCCCATGACGCCATAAATAGTGACTTCTATTCCCGCTATTGCGGATAGTGCTTAGCAGTCCAAAAGCGTCACGATGAGGTCCGGTTCTGCTATATTGCTATGGCGCACTATCTACAACCTAGATCAGTTGTGTTTGATTTCATATCGAATGAAGATGCTAATTAGAAAATGCCAATGACACCTGTGGGAAGAATGAAGATGCTAATCGGAAAATGCCGATGAGACCTGTGTGAAGAATGAAGATGCTAATTGGAAAATGCTGATGACACCTGTGGGAACAATGGCAACGACAGTTTCATTTCAAAGAGAAGCACTGAGAGGGAACAATGGCAACGACAGTTTCACTTCAAAGAGAAGCACTGAGAGGGAACAATGGCAACGACAGTTTCACTTCAAAGAGAAGCACTGAGAGGGAACAATGGCAACGACAGTTTCACTTCAAAGAGAAGCACTGAGAGGGAACAAAAATGTAGTAACCCTTTGGTGAACACATGATATTGGCTCTTATGTTGCCTTTTTTATCAAACTCAGTCTACTTGAACATAAACTCAGGATCCTGAGCAAGAGTAAGTATGAATGAGTCCATATAAGTTCAACTGAGTTTGCTAAAACACGAGTTGGTATGCAATTCTTATCTGAAATGTTAACTCATACATGTCATCATGTGAGTTAGATAACAATGATGAAGAGTGGAGATAAAAGGATCCTAATAGAACACTACTATGCTTGGAACCATGACAGTGTGAAAAATGCAGCTGAATTAGCCACTGTTGTGATAGTGATGCCGTTACAGAGACCTCTAAAACTTCTATAATACTTCTGCGGACAATTGAAAACTACATTCCTACCTAAACCACTTCCAGTGCAAGATTAGATTGGCAGTGAGATTAGTGGAATGATAGTGAGTTGCTACAATTTTGGCCTATGATGAACAACACTGAGACTGAGACGTCTGCGGCACAGATAATAATTTGAAAAAAAAATGAATAAATTAAACATAATCGTCTTCATACCTTAAACAAAATCACATCCGCTTGGCTATTAGGGTTTACCTTAGTGGCGAGCTTGTAGTCACCACGCTTCCAATTCCCACTTCTAACATATCCATCACATTCGCAAATCCTTCTAAGAAGCGCGAGGACCAAACCAATAGTCAAATCAGCAACTTCATCGGTCAATACATCTGGTGTATTCGTAACGCGAATCCCTTTCTCCTTGCACTTGATAAGATCGATCTTATCAACACCAACGCTGGAGCTCGAAATGATTTCCAAATTCGGCAGTGCGTCAATGAGTTCAGAATCGGCGCCGGCCGTCGACCGTCCGACCACCGCACGGATTGAGGCGCCGTGTTGAGTTAAGAAGTGTGGTTTTTGCGGGTAATCCCATAGGCGGAAAAGGTTGTAGCGTTTGTTGAGTTCTTGTTCTAAGTAAAGAGCTACTTGAGTAACGAGGAGAACACCTATGGACCCCATTGAACGCCTATTAAAATGTACACAAATCCCAATCAAAATTACAAGCTATTAATTTTTTTGGGATAACTTTGTATTAAGATTACGATACTGTGTGCTTAAATCTAATCATTTTACCAATATTTAAAATATGTGTAATTTTTTACTCAAATAATTCAGTTTTTTTTTAAAAAAATCTCAAAATATTCTACATTTTAAAATTATTCTCAAAGTACTTCGGTTAGGATTTAAGATTACACAAGGGCGTCAATTCAATTGGTGATTTCTTCTTAAAGTCATAAGTGAAGTGTCAATTGGTCTAGAGACACCTCATGCATTCTTCAATCCAATTGACGACTTTGTATTATACACAAAAGGGTATTGCCAATTTATCTGGAGACCTCTTGTATTTTGAAATTTTTTTTCGAAAAATAAATACTTATCAAAATAATTAATAAAATAGTTGATATTATGAATATTATCAAAAATAATTATTTACTTTTTAGAAATTTTTATATAAACTAAGTCAAAGGGGAAAATAAATATTATCATTAATTAAAAAAAGTATTACATTAGGCGACCAGGTTGGTCATACCGGTCACAGGTTCCATATCCCCTAGGCACCCTAATTCGTTGCACTCGTCCCCTTCGTTGTTGATTCACGCCTGGTGTTTGAGGAGTTGAAGTCTCAGGAACATTCTCAGATGGTTCCCGAAGGATTTCTTGCATTTCCATTAGGTCATGTGTGTTGAAACTAAGCGTGTGATTCATGCCTAAGTAGTTCGGATGTGATGAAAGGGGTCATTGGTGTGCGGCCTGGACGGTTGTATGGGGACATTGGTGTGAATGATTCGTTGGTGAAAGGTTGAAATAGTAGTGGTGTTTGAAAGCCATAAGGTTGTTGAGATGGTTGAGTGGGTAGGTCAGGGTATGATGTTGGGGCGTTTTGGCTATGGAAAGATGTTTGGGCGTTATGGCTATGGTATGGTGTACCCTCATTATGGCTATATCTTGATGTTGTGTTGGGGCCATAAGTATTAAGGTGAAATAAACAAAGATTAAGTGAATGACTTACTTTTGTGCATACAGGAAGGGAAGGTTGTTGTGGTTGACGGACGTTAGGGATGGCAATCTAGAACAACCTCATGCTTGGAGCAAAACGGCACATCCAGAAAAAGTAGATGTGTTTTTTTAGAACTTACATAAAGAGTTATATAAATAAGACAGACAAGCGAGGCCCTAACTATACTCTCTTGTTTTAATCAGGTCTCTCAATAAAGGTAAATACATTATGTGCATAGAAGAACCAGTGCCTTTGGGAAATAAAAATAAACCAATTAAAAGCATTAGATAACACATGGTTTTTATTATTTTCATTTCCTTTATAGACTCTTCATCTAATATAAAATCGGCATACCATGATTTTAGGCACAAAAGTAAGATACCTTGGCCTCTCAAGTTCTTATCTAGAAAGTCGGCACCTAAAAGTTCCTCAAAAATTGAACCACTAAGGTTTGTTGTTCTATTGACCGCCTTACCATCAATGCGCAAACCGAGTAACATGTACACATCCTCTAAGGTCACAGTACATTCATCGGTTGGAAAAAAGAAGGTGTGTGTCTCTGGGCGCAATCTCTCTTGCAAAGCTAGTATAAACTTTGCATTAACAGAGTAAGACATGATTTTGCTTACATGTCCGAAACTGGCAAGCTTACTATATGGTTGAATTAATTCGTCGGGGGCAGCATATTCATGGGCACAACACCGAAACTTGGAGGCTTCCTACATAATTGTCAAAAAAAAAATTAAAAAGTCATTACAAATTATAAGAGTAAAAAAAATAAAAGAATCATTAAAAATTAACATATACAAGAAACAGTGAACATTTACATAAATCGCGATGTTTGCGACAGTGCCTCTATGTGTTTTACCCATTGTCAACAAAGTCATTATAACTGATTAAATGTGAATCAAATAACTAGTATACTGACACAAATAGACTTGATATTACCTCTCTGCAACAAGTAAGAATCAGATGATGCATTTTAACCATGTCTGCATCATTCTTATATAGGGAATTCGTCTGAACATGCAAGCCAGGGAATTGCCGACTTCGTTTCCCATTAACAAAGGGGCGTCAGTCCAATTGGTGACCCTTGGTAGGGAATCTAACTGAGCACATAGGTTGAGCCTTGCTACATGCATGCATAACATGTTGTCACCCACATGGCGACAGAGAACATTAAAGGTTGTACCATGTCACCAATGCAGGTGGTGACTTCACTAAATGCGTTTGACCATGTCACCAGTTGAGTTGGCTCCTGCACTTACTAACTTTGATTGTCTCACCAATTAATGTGACGCCTTAATACATGTCCAAAATTCATAAATATGTTCCCATGCATGCAGACATTCATAGAAACAATTTTACTAGTCCATAACTAGTTCTTTTAGTATGTCATTTGCACTAAGATATATTGTTAACGCCCACTACAACGAGAGACATATGTATCCGATGTATATGGGTTTGGTTTTCAAAACACCGACATTGGTTGATTCACAATCAATAGAAACACAAGTTTCTTGCATTTTAAAGAAAGATTGGAATTGAAATTAGGGCTTGGTCCTATAGCACAAATAATATTTCAAAACCCAGTTTATTTTGAAACCAACCATGTTAAATTTTATCCACTTAAAGTGCGAGACGATGAAGATGTAGAAAATATGTTCCTAAGTCACGAACATTCTGGTTTCAACTATATTGAGTTGCATATGTTCCTCCAACAAAATATTTCATCTCAACAGTATCAGATCATCGATCAATCAACAATTTTGACTCAGATGAAACTGAATCAGAATACTCAGATGAAACGAAATCGAAGTTTAATGTCGTTGATGAAGAAGAAGAAGAAGGAAGTGAGTCACTAGTAGATAAATTGTTGAATGACAATGTTGAAGATGATGAACAAGTACCAATACCTCCAGGTCATGCATATTGTCCGCCTCAACATATGACAGACTTAGACTTGGAAGACGATGAGAGATATGCAGATATGTTTCACAGCTCGTATATACGGTAAAAGAATGAGTTAAAAGTTGGAGACCAGTTTTGTACCGAGGAGGATTGTATACGATCCATTAAAAAAGATCACATGGATAACTTTGTTGATTTCAATGTACAGCGAACTGATTCGAGAAGGTATGTCATTATTTATTATAATCCATTTTGCAAGTTTCGGCTTACTGCGTCTTACAACAAGAGAAGTGGTCCTTGGATGATAACTTCTATAGAGCCACCTTACAGTTGCACTGCCGCAAATATTGTTCAGGATCACTGAAAACTAAGCGCATAATTGATATGTCAAGACATTTTGCCGCTTGTTAACAAGGATCCTTCAGTCAAGGTGAGTATAATAATCTCTCATATCGTAACGCGATATAATTATACTCTATCATACAATAAGGCATGGATTACAAGAACAAAGGTTGTTGAAAAAGTATTTGGCAACTGGAAGGATTCATACAAAGAATTACCGTAATTTTTGGTAGCGCTAAAGACATACATACCAGGAACTGTTGCAATCGTGCAGACAGTGCCTGCATGTAGGCCAGATGGAACAATTGTTGATGGAAATGTCATCTTTCACCATTTTTTTGTCGTTTCACCATGCATAAGAGGTTTTGTATTCTGCAAACATGTTATTCAAATTGATGGAATATGGCTATATGGAAAATATAAGGGCACCTTGCTTATGGTTGTTGCACAAGACGATAACAATAATGTATTTCCCATAGCCTTTGCTCTGGTTGAGGATGAGACTGCTTCTTCTTGGAGTTTCTTCCTTAAGAATCTCATAACACATGTCACTCCACAAGCCAACCTTTGTTTGGTTTTAGACATGTATGCTGCTATAGAGACTGTGTACAATAACCGTGATAACGGGTGGCATAATCCTCCTTCTACACATGTGTCGCTACTGCGAAAATCGGCGTCGGTTGAACAGAAGAGTCGCCACCGTGCATTATTTATCCCAACGGAGGGAAAGGAAACGCTCGAAGTAAACCTACCGAAAAGACGGGAAAGGAATGGTCATCGCAACCAAATCCTGGATTCGGGAGTCGGTTACGCAAGGGGAAGGTATTAGCACCCCTCACGTTCGTCGTACTCGACGGGATCCACGCTTGCTTGGTTTGTCTAAAGGATGCAAAACAATCTATCTACGGCTGCTAAATCTAAACGGAAGGGAATTGACTCGATAGAGCGTCGCACTCTATGCCTACGTATTCTCAAGAGAGAAAGTCAGAGTCAACGTAGTTCGGGAAACTACAGGGAATTAGCTCGCCAAGACCTCGCGTCTTGTGCCTACGTACTTCCACACAGCATGGAAGATCAGAGATTTCGTAGTTCAGGCTAACTACGGCTAAGCAGGGTGTTCTCGATCACGCAGGAAGTGAGAGATTAAACTGGTTGCAAAGGTACGGGAACCTACGGGAATTAAAACTACGGTCTGGTCTCAAATGCACTCGGGCAAGAGAAAGGGGAAAACAATCAGTCGTCAGCGGGAAAGTCTCAATCGCACAGCAGCGAGAGAATAGAAGAGTTAGTTGTTAGTGTGCTCGCTAGGATATCGCATCCTATGCCTGCATATTCTCGCTCAGTACGAGAAATCAGAGCAGCTGTAGTTCAGCTACTTTCGGGACCACAGCACAAATCTCGTTTTATTATTATTCTGAAAATGGGTTGCAATGATCGAATACGGGAAAATAAACTTCTAAAACATCCTATCCATCTATCATGGAAAATCAAGTGAAAAATAGTCCCCTAACAAATGGACTTCTAAAGCTATCTCTAAAAAGGTAAAATAAACTCTATGAAAAATTGTATCCTAAAAGAAAAATATTAAAATCTATATATTCTCTATTTTTTTATTTCTTTATTTTTTCCATATGTTCTTTTTCAATTCTTTTTTTCTCAAATATTCTTTTTTCATATTCTTTTTCAATTCTTTTTTTCATTCTTTTTT